GTACGAGAAGCGAACGCAAGGCATCGATCGGATGGCTGGAATTGAAGATAAATTTGAAAAATTGGGACTAGCAGATAGATATAAAGAATAGATTGTAGTTTTTATATCTTAGCTTAAAATTTGTAAAGAATTATTTTGGAAATAATTACAAATGATAGTGATATAGGTGAGTAGGTGCCAACCTAGTTGGGATTTACTTATATATTATGATGCGATTAATTCCAAAATAAATTTGTACTTGTAATTTGTAAATGATTTATTAATTATTAATAAAGAATAAATTTGTACTTGTAATTTGTAAATGATTTATTAATTATTAATAAAGAATTTGTTTTTATCCTTTTTTATTTGTAATTTATGCCATTTTAAGTAATTATTATTAATTATTAATAAAGAATTTGTTTTTATCCTTTTTTATTTGTAATTTATGCCATTTTAAGTAATTACTAAAATTATTGTTTTTATTATTTTTCTTGTCTTTTTTTTATAATTTATAATTTAAATAACATAAAAAAATTTAGAAAAAAAAATTTAAAAAGAAAGAAAATCACCCGGGCCAGCCCGGGCCCCGGCCCGGTCGGGCCCGGGGTACCCGGGTCTGGGTCTGGGTCCCGGTTTTGCCCGGCCCGGATGGACAGGCCTAGATACAGCTAAATTTTTATGTATTTATTTATTTTAAAAAAATATGTCTGATATATCTTGGGGATGGCAGGTCATTTTGGAACACAATTAATGGTGTTGACAAATGAAAGTGTTTCTATCAATAATTATCTTCCTTATAGCAAAAATTTGAACTTTCTCCTTAGTTAACTCAATTTGGGGTTTGCGGAGAACAGAAGATAATTATCTGTCAGAAGAAAAACTACTTACCGAAGCTAGGAGAACATAATCAAACACGGAATTCTTTTACCATTTGAACAAATATGGACGCGACAGGATACAATCATGATCTAAATGTCTCAAAACATTAATGAAATAAAAATCATGATGGTTAAATACTTCTAACATATTTTTTTCATTATCTCTTATATTATTGTAAAACCGTTAATTTTACAATCACTTAATGCATGAGATACTACAACTTAATATGACTACTTTTTTATCTATATACAATCTAAAATATATAAATTAAAATGAATGGATTGAATCGAGTAATTTGATAGCATATAATGTAGTTTTAAATGAGCTATCTTAAGTTAGAATCTAAAGTACCATCTTATGAACATTTTCCCTCTTTTATGTACACACACGTCCTTTGTATATGTAGCAAAAATACAAATGCAAGTCCATGCGTGCATACTTTTGCAGCCTTTTCTAGTGCATGTTGTGGAATGTAAACAACAAAAATTGGATGAAGTTGTGTAACGGGCTCAGGAGTTGGGCCAAACATCCAGCCCGTTTTATGTCCCCCGCGCTCCCCTCTCTTTTCCCTATGACGTTGTATTTGTAGAGATCTTGAGTACTATCATAAATTAATAAGGATCCAAAAAGTCACTATTCATGATATAGCGAATTCTACAGTGAATTACTGTAGCAGCATTACAGTAATAAATATCATTGTGGCACAAACAGAATACTATAGTATTTTGAAAAAAATCTGTGTTTGCAAAAAATACTGTAGCCTTTAAAAAGAATTATTGTGGTAAAAATAAAAAAAAAAGGGTCGTGCTTTGCACGGGGTGCACACTAGTAAATATGAAGCTAGAAAATTATCAAATGGAGAGATTGAATGAATGGATAAGGTGTGAGGATGTGAGGGTGCGATTTAGGGGTGGTAAATGATCGAATCGAATCGAATACTAAGGTGTTCATATTTGTATTTGTTTAAAATTATCGAATTCGAATGCGGACTCTAATATTCATATATCTAGTTTTTCGAATTCGAACTCGAATACTTGGTATTTGATAAATATTCATGAATATTCACGAATACTTATCGAATATCAAAGTACATTTATTTTGCTAAAGAGTTTGATTTTCAAATAGTATTAAAATTCATAAATAAAAATTATTTCTTTATAATATATGATGTATATATATTTAAATCAAAATTTTAATTAGAAAACAGATTTAAGATTATTTAAGTCTTAAAATCTATATATAAAACTTAAGTAGAAATGGTAAGTGGGTTAAAAATATGACATCATATGTGCAATAATACAAATAATAAGCTGTGATCAAATTTTAAAAGAATATTTAATAGACAAACAAATCGAATATACATCTGGTTAAATTCTATTCGTTAATAAACTCGAATACTAAAAAATATTTGTTTAGTGATAAATGAACTATCGAATCGAATATGACCGAATAGTTATTCGAACAATTATCGAACCATTTATTAATTATTTGGTTCATTTCCACCGCTGCGATTGATGTGTGAACTAATTCACAAGATTTATACACTTTATATTCATATCTACCTCTATCTATGCGTCGGTCGTGGAAAATTAGTTTTTGGAAGCATGAGAGAGGTTTGTCAAGCATTAATATCAATTGTGTTCCTCTGTTTATCTTGCCCACAGCTTCAATAAATTTTAATCTGACATGTTGGAGGATGCTAAAAAATGCAGGGTTCTTAGACTACATATCTCCTGAATTAATCTGAGCTAACTCCTCAAATTCACATATCAACATAAAAATTTAAAATTAAGCCTAGATGTTATATGTAGCTAGTAAATAGAATTACAAATGGTAACATGAACAGCCGAAACCCTTTAGAAAAAGTGAAGGATTTACAATCACCAAAAGCAATAAATCAATAAATACCTAGAGCCTTTTAAAGAGAAAAATTGCAAAATAGACCGTTTTTGCTAATTATTTAGAAAAATAGACCGTTTTGCTAAATAATTAGCAAAATAGATCTCTTTTTGGCCAATAGGCCAAAAAGAGGTCTATTTTGCAAAACAGCTCAGAAAACATACGGGACTAGTAGTCCCGTATGTTTTAATCACGGATTAGTGAAATTTTCTACTTAGAAAATATACGGGACTACTAGTCCCGTATGTTTTCTGAGTCACTAATCCGTGATTAGTTGGCTCTAGTCCCGTATGTTTTATGAGCCTTATTTTTCAAAATCGATCTCTTTTTTTCAAAAGAGGTCTATTTTGCTAATTATTTTTCAAAGTGGTCTATTTCGCTATATATTTTATAAAAATGATCTATTTTGCAAATTTTCCCCCTTTTAAATCTCTCTCTCTCTCTTGAGAACTGCAATCTTCAACTAATCTTCTTCTAGAAATCGAACTTTCTGTTACAAAACAAACAAATCAATCAACATCAAAATTGATACTTCTTCAATGATAGAAATGTTGTGCGCGTCGTGGAAGCGTGACAACCAAACGGGCGTGCTTCGAGAACCAAATCAAACAAACGTCGAGATAAAGGCCAAACAAATCAAAACAACGACACAAATCCAAACACAATAGTTTTACGTGGTTCGGCAATTGCCTACGTCCACGGAGCAAGAAGGGGATGGGGTTTTCACTAATAGAGAAAGAGTACAAACTGAGATTACAAATCACTCGAAGGAACAAACTAATCTCACCAACAAGCTCTTAATCTCTCCAAACAAAACCCTAAACAAATAGCTCAGAAATACCTCTTTTTTGTGCTCCAAATATCCCCAATTTTTCTTCTCCACCAAATTCTCTCTTCCAATTGTTCCATATATATAAAAATCCTAAAATCATAAACATACTAGGAATTCTAAACCTCTCTTCCAATTGTTCCATATATATAAAAATCCTAAAATCATAAACATACTAGGAATTCTAAACCAAAACCAAATCAAATTAGGAATCCTAATAACCTATTACCAAAATAGATTAGGAATCCTAATAAACTCATGTTACCAAAATAAACTAGGAATCCTAATAACCTCATGTTACCAAAATAGATTAGGAATTCCCTATCCAACAAGAAAGCCTACGATCAGTTCTAAGAAACTAAATTTTTTTAATGATCAATCAGCCAAAACCCTAATCTCCATCGTTGTGTACGCATTTGGAGTTTAGAACACCAGGCTTCAATAATGAAATATACTTCTCGATTGAGGCAAATAAACAGATAATGGGCTGTTTGGTTCCCTGTTTTTGAGGGAAATGCTCTCTTGAAAGTCTGTCAAAAGTATCAAAAGTGTTACTTTTTGACAAGCTTTCAAGAGAAAAAAATTCTAACCAAACAGGCCCTAAGGCTGCGTTTGGCAAGAGGATAAATGAAGGATTAAGTGGGTTTAACCCTTCATTAGCCTGCCAAACAGAAAAAAAGGAGAAGGGGTAACAAACCCGCACGTGACACTGTTAACCCAGTTATCCCGTCAAAAGAGGGGACAACTATTCTGCGTGAGAAGGCGGAACAAGACTTGTTCCGCCTTCTCACGCGAGGGTAGGGGCGGAATTTTTTCATTTGGGTCTCGTTAGGGGAATTAGGCAGCGAAATTTGAGCTACGGGTTCGAAGGAATCGAGGGTTGGAACTCACAGAACGCGATGCAGACGGAGGCAACAGTTGCGATAGGGCTCTAAGCTCCGTCCATGGAGGCGGCGGCGGAACAGTTGCGATAGGGCTCTAAGCTCCGTCCATGGAGGCGGCGGCGGTCTTAAATACTCGACGCCCAATGAGCAACAGGCTCAGATCGGTACGATTACCAATCTCTTGGCCGGAGGAGTCGCCGGAGCTGTGAGCAAAACTTGCACTGCTCCGCTCGCTCGCCTCACCATCCTCTTTCAGGTATAAAGATTCGTTCTTGGTGGTTAACGCCTAGGTCTCAATCATAAGCCTGAAAATGCACTGCTCTCTACTTTGTATTAGATTTACAGGGAAAGATTCAGTTGTATTTTGGGGAAAGATACTGTTTTTAGTGTCATTTGGGTGATTAATTGCAATTGGTTACTGGATATTTCAGTCAAGACTCTTAAAGATAGATTAATGACCCTGATTAGTCATCTTCTTGAGGTGCAAGGGATGCACGCCGATGCTGTGGCTCTAAGAAATGCTAGTATATGGCGCGAGGCTTCCCGAATTGCTTGTGAAGAAGGGTTTAGAGCTTTCTGGAGAGGAAACTTGGTTACGATTGCTCATCGATTGCCTTACTCTTCCATTAGCTTTTATGCTTACGAACGCTACAAAAATGTAAGAATATTGAAAGTTTTTTTAGCCAGATATCTACGGTGTTGAACTTCTTACTAATTTTCAGAACTGTGTTTATTTTATGAGTTCTGTAGTCCTAGGGTTTGAATTTGGGGGTTTTGGTGATGATTTTTCGATAATGAGGCAGCGGATCTTCGGAAAGGTGCAAGATGAGCCCGCTTTGCTTGTAATTTGGTTTATTTGAAGAATTTGTAGTTCTAGGTTTGGATTTGTGGGGCTTTTTCGGCGCCTTTGAGGCTAGGGTTAGAGAATGAGGCATCGGATCGTTAAATAGATGCAACTTCAGCTCCTCTTGGCTTTTTATTTGAATGAGTTGGTGAATGAGACAGTGTATTGTCAACTAGATTTAATATGAACTCTTTTTTGTTACAATTTGATTGTGTTGGTGAATGAGGCAGTGGATTGTCACATATTTGAAGAATTACCTTGAGGTATGAATGTCCAAAGTTTTTCTAATTTTTTCATTTTTGATGAGGTAATTATTTATAAATTTTCAATAGGGGCGAAAGTGGTATTTTTAAAAAAAATAATGAGATTAATCACCTTAACCCCTCTCCTTTTGCCAAACACAAAAGACTTAACCCCTTGTCTTAACTATCGTATCCAAACGGGTTTAGAATTTTTTTAACCCTTCACGATGGATTAACGAAGTTAACCCTTCTCTTTAATCCCTTATCCTTAACCCCTTGCCAAACGCAGCCTAAATGTTTTAAAGGTTGTAAGCCTTGATGAGATTGCGTCCTTAATTATAACATTTGGCACAACACAATTATCTTACAACTATCTAAAAATATGGGATAGCAATTGTGGATCGCTTTATTAGATGTACTTATATGAAAAGCTTTATTAGATGTACTTATATGAAAAGTATCGTTATAACAATTTGAAAAATAATATACATATATTAAATATAATACGATCATCTAAAAAGTTTATATCATTGAAATTATAATATAAATATTAATCATGCCAGAATCATCTAGACATAGTCATTTGAAAAATTATACCTTGGACGCAGTAACAATGTCTTAGAATTTAAAAACATCTGAAAAAAAATGTATAGCAATTGAAAATTATTTTACTAATTAAAATATACTAAAATTATTTGAAAAATCATTATAGCATATTGATGACTGGTTTGATGATTATTGTTTAATTTATTTGCCCACTAAGTGCAATGCATGTGTATTGCACGTGATAAAATATCTTGATTGTTTAAACTGAAAAAAAATTGATTGGTATACTATTTAGCATATATACATGTCAACTCTTCTATACTTATAGTAGGATCCAATGAATCACTGTTCATGATACAACAATTACTGTAGCATAAAAAGTAAACATAATCTTGCCCTCTATACGAGAAGTACTGTTCATGATACAATAAAAAATATCGTAGCATAACATAAAATATTTTGCTATAGTATTAACATTTGGATCCTTTTTTTAATAAATATATAATTTCTAAATCAAATGTATTAAAACTTGGATAATTTTTTTAAGTATAAATGAGCAAATATGAATTCTACATCAAATGTATTAAAACTTGCATCCCTTTTTAAGTACAGAGGAATAAATATAGTTTCTAATTTTAAGCACACAATAATTAAATCAAATGCATTAAAACTTAGAGGGAGACAAATTTAAAATGCAGTGTTTAAAAAAAACAGGGGTCGTGCTTTGCACGGGGTGCACGTTAGTTTTCTATTAATCATAAAACAAATAAAACCTCTCAACACAAAAAAAAAAAAGTCAGTGTTGGTTCATATGGGCCTGACATTTTCCAGGATATCGGCCGGTGTACTTGTGAAATTCCAGTTTTAGGATCTCGTTTCGACCTTACTGGTATGTGATTTCTATATATGCGGTTTCGATCAATTTTGGAAAACCTGTGCGCATGCAGAATTCAACAGTCTCCTTCACGCTGAGTAGCTAATGCCGCGGATTTAAGGGAAGCCTTATCCATAACTTTGAGATGAAAATCAACTCCCAAGGACTTCAATCCCTAAAATTGACAACTCTCATGAATTAGCGTTAACAGTTTAGGCATAAGAGGTTACGTGCAACTTTCTCATTTTCACTACACAACAATCTCCAGGTTATATAATAGGAATTTAGAATTGTAATTTTATGTTCTAATATTGTATTGATGTCAAATCTCAAAAGGCGCAGATATTTTTGAAAGAAGTCGGATATGGCAACTAATATAAGTTTGTTTGCTTATTATCGGACTCCACTTGCAATATTCGTGTTCCTTAACCCACACAACTACCCCCCACCCACCCCAAAAAAAAAACCAAAAAAAGAAAAGAAAACCTCCATCCTACGAAGTTTAACTTTTTTAAGAAATATCCAATTTTGCGGCAATAGAACTTGCGGGAAGAGATTCTTCACATAAGTACTTTACAATTCACCAATCAAATCTCCTCAGTCAGTGGACTCTATGAATGATATTAATTATCTAAATTATATAAAAAATATTTAACTCTTTTTTTTTGTGAGGGGTGGGGTTGCGGGAGAGGTTCTCAAATAAAGTAATA